AAAATTTAACATTTTCTAATGGTGGTGTGCCTCGTGATTTTTTTCATGAAAAAAGTGTGCCTTTGCACAAAAAAGGTTGAAAAACACTGCTTTAGTGACCTAAGAAGATGGTGAATAAGATGTTTTCTAAAACAAAAATTACACTAAAGGAATTGTGTTCTAGATTAAGATGAGATAAAGCAACCACAAACTTTACTTTCATATTATGAAATTGACTATGACCAGTCACTAAAAAAATGTTCTCCTAAAACAGATATCAGTGTAAACATCCCATTTCAGGATAAGAAAATAACATTTATACCTCTCAAACAGATTGTGCATGCCATGAATTTGGACATGGGCAGACCATTGTCCATGCATTTTATTTATGTGCAAAACTGCAAGTCTGTTATTAATGATGAGGTTCAAGCAAAAGCAGAGCCAGGTCAATTTTTGATGACTGTTCTTAAAAAAAGGGAGAAGGTAAAATTGCTCTGCTACTGAATACCTGCTGTTGCTTATTATTTATTCCTACACTCAAACAAAATATGGGTAATCCTTGGCTTACAAACACAATTGAGTCCAAAATTTCCATTGCAAAACAAGACAGTTGTTAAGTGAATTTTGACCCATTTTATGACCTTTCTTGCCACAGCTGTTGTGAATCATTGAAGTTGTTTTACTTAGTAACACAGTTCTTAAGTGAATCCAGCTCCCCCTTTGATTTGCTTGTCAGAAGGTTGCAAAGGGGGTCACAAGACCCCAGGACACTGCAACTGTCATAAATACATACCAGTTGCCAAGAATCCGAATTTTGATCATGTGATCATGAGGATACCGCAATGGTCGTAAGTGTGAAAAATGGTCACGTCACTTTTTTCAGTGCTGTTGTAACTTCTATCACTAAATGAATGGTTGTAAGTCAAGGACTACTTGTATATACTCCTCAGATAAGAAATGTCTTCTACCTGTACTGCTCCTTGGCCTGCATAATAATGAAATCCCACTTATGGTTGATGCGTTTGTTCAATATGCTATAATGTTCCTGGAAAAGAAACAGTAAGGGAGAAAACAGCAAAGTCAACATTGTTATGCACTCACAACAAAAGGATGTGATAAACAGTTGCAACGGTGATTTTATGCACCAAGCATAAAATAAACAAGATTGATAACATTATTCAACAAAACTTCTTAATATTAATCGCAATGGCAATAGTGAAGTGGTCAATACTTAAAAGGGATAAATGTTTTGACAGTGTTTCAAAATAATGAAAAAGAAAAAGTTGTGTTTTTTTCCTTTACACAGGTATATATCACTTGTTGAAAAGAGATCCCAGGTAGGAGGAGGAATTAAAAATGCACTGGAGCATGTACAATACAATAACATTAAAACATATAAAATATAATATAGGTAGTGATCTTCAACCCATTGAGCCCAAAATTTCCATTCCTAAGCAAGATAGTTGTTAAATGAGTTTTGCCCCATTTTACAACTTTTCTTGCCACGGTTGTTAAGTGAATCAGTGCAGTTGTTAAGTTAGTAACATGGTTGTTAGATGAATCTGGTTTCCCCCATTGACTTTGCTTGTCAGAAGGTCGCAAAATGGGATCACATGATCCTGGGACACTGCAACTGTCATAAATATGAGCCAATTGCCAAGCGTCTGAATTTTGATTACTTGACCATGACCATGGGGTTGCTGCATCAGTTGTAAGTATGAAAAAGGGTCATGTCACTTTTTTAGTACTGTTGTATCTTCAAATGGTCACTAAATCAAAATTTGTAAGTTGAGGACTCCCTGTAAAGAACGCATAACAATTGTGAGAAGATAAGTGTGCGCTTCAGTTTGAAGCCTAAAAAGTGTTTTGGAGCTGGCATGGACATGTACCAGAGGTGGTATTCAGCAGGTTCTGACCAGTTCTGGAGAACCAGTAGCGGAAATTTTGAGTAGTTCGGAGAACCGATAAATACCACCTCTGACTGCCTGCCCCCATCTATTCTCTGCCTCCCGAGTCCCAGCGTATATGGGATGGAATGGGGATTTGCAGTACCATCCCCTGCCACGGCCACCAAGCCCCACCCACAGAACTGGTAGTAAAAAAAATTGAACCCCACCATTGAATCCCACCTTCCATCTCCTTAAGAAACAGTGAAGCCAGGAAAATATGTTTGAGTTAAGGCAGTGCTAAGGCACTACACAGATAGGATATAAGTCCCTCCACTGTCAGGAGCTAGATTTGAGTTGATTCTGGTTGACCACCCCTATATATGTAGAGGTGTAATATATGTATGTAGAAAATGTGGAAATAACCTTAATGATGGAATGGATGCACTGTTCAAAGAGGAATTGTTCATCAAGTGTTTTTCTGGGAAGTAGAAAATAAAAGAAACAAACTAAAAGTAGCTTTGTTTTTACAGGTAGTCCTCAACTTACAGCAGTTCATTTAGTGACTGTTTGAAGTTACAATGGCATTGAAAAAAAGGAATTCTGACAGTTTTTCACACTTACGGCTGTTGCAGAATTCCCATGGGACAAATGATTAAAATTCAGACATTTAATAACTGACTCATATTTATGGCAGTTGCAGTGTCCTGGGGTCATGTGAGCACCTTCAATCTTCTGACAAGCCAATGGGGAAGCTTAACAAGTGTGCTACTAACTAAATAACTGCAGTGATTCACTTAACAACTATGGGAAGAAAAGTCATAACATGGGGCAAAACTTACTTAACAACTGTCTTACTTAGCAACAGAAATTTTGGACTCAATTGTGGTCCTAACTCTAAATTGTTTGGCATATGAGGGAGAAATTCTGAATCTATTATACCATACAATAATAAGATAGCATTCCTGGAATCCTTGTGGGGTATATTTCCTAACCTGGCTTACCTCAAAGGAAGTTGCCAAAAGTTTTGAACAAGTATTACTTAGGTTGTTTCTTGGCTGTGGTGCTTACAAGCAGCCAATTCCTATGGTGTGGTGTGGTGTGGTGTGGTGTGTTCTGGTGTGTTATAGCATGTTATATAGTTCATACTGCATTCTTTCCAAAAACAAGAAGAACTATTTGGAACAAAAACACCTTTAAATTAACTTACTGTTTTGCTTTTCTTTTTTAAAATGAATTGTTTTTAATTTTCATCTTAAGTGTTTTCAAACCTTGTTATTCTTATTCTAATAGATTTAGGATTTTCCCCTCCTTCTCTTATAAAGTACTCTGGGTTCCTTTGAGGAGAAAGTGGCATATAAATAAAAGAAGTAAACAAGCATGTTCTTAAGCTTCATGAGCTTATCGTATCTCAATAATCTGATTTGGTAAACTGACTAAGTACTGAAATAATGCTACTGCTTAAGATACTTAGAAAAAATATTGCATAAGGAAAAAAAATACCTTCCTACCTTTTCATAATCTTCTAGAGCTCCTTTCTTCTTAATATTTCTCTTTGCTAGATAAATGGCTGGGGGATATTTTTAAAAAAGAGAAAGTACTTTATTGCACAGCTGTAAAAACCAAATGAATATGATTAATGACTTAGTCTGAATATTACACAATATTTTCCAAAGGGAGGCTGTGTCCCAGAGGCATCAAGGCAAGATAGATGGAATTCCAGGAAACCAGGCTTCACAAGAACATGGGTGCTGGTGTCTTCTTCAGACACATCATCTTGAATCACACTATCAGTGTGGAGGAGGCTAAGGCAAGTGAGGGGTGGGTAGAAGTTTAGGGAAGTTTAGATGGGAAGCATCCATTAAATAACTGAAGCCAAATACTTTGAATTAATGTATGTGCAAGTTATATATACAGCAAAGATCAGAGCTGCTGTTTTATGTTCCTGGTTGGCATATTTTTTACTCATGACTTTAAAAGAGGAATGACTTTCAATGCTCTTCAAAGATCAAGGGTTAATTAGGAATAAAAAGACTCCCTTTTAAAGAGAAGACTGTATTTTTCTCCATAAATGACTCCTTATATCAAAGTTATTAAAACAGAGGACATTTTGATTTTATGTGATTTTTGCTGACAGTGAAGTTTCAACAAGAAAAGTGAGGTAATAGGTTAAACTTACCGTAATCTGTATCATCTGCTCCCCACTGCTGGGTTGGCCAAAAGTAGGGTGTCTGTAGGAAGGAAGACAAAAACTAAGAATCAAATTCTTGATAATTTTCTTATCAAACTCTTCTAAATCATTCTTATATTTAGTGTATAACTGTTAACCAGTAAAGCTTAAAAGGTTTTAAAATTCATTTCAACACGTTTCTTCCCCATTATTTTTTCATTATTTTACAACAACTTTGAATAATGTTTTAACAATTGGGTGGGGAGCTGAAAAGTGTGATGGGAAAGCCAAAAATGCTAAGAACACAGGTGGTCCTTGATTTACAACCTTTCATTTAGTGACCAAAGTTACAACAGCACTGAAAAAAGTGACTTACAACTGGTCTTCGTACTTACAACCATTGTTAGCATCCCCATGAAGGTTTGGGCACTTGTTAATTAGCATGTATTTCAGAGGTGACGTTCAGTAGGTTCTGACCAGTTCTGGAGAACCATAGCGGAAATTTTGAGTAGTTCGGAGAACCGGTAAATACCACCTCTAACTCACTCACTCCCATCTATTCTCTGCCTCCCGAGTCCCAGTTGATCGGGAGGGAATGGGGATTTTGCAGTAACCTTCCCCTGCCACACCCATTGAGCCATGCCCACCAAGCCATGCTATGCCCACCAAGCCATGCCCACAGAACCGGTAGTATAAAAAATTAATCCCACCACTTATGTATTTATGATGGTTTCAGTGCCCCAGGGTCACACAATTGCCCTTTACATCCTTCCTAGGCAGTTTCTGACAATGTGGGAAGCTGGATTTGCTTAACAACCATGTGATTCACTTAACAACTTCACCGACTTGCTTAAGAACTGTGGCAAACAAGTCATAAAACTGAGCTCAAATCACTTAACTGCTTAACAACAGAAATTCTTATGACCCACGTGGTCCATTAGTTGAGGACTACCTTTAATAACATTAGAAAAATTCATTAACCTTTAAACTGTAGATTCTCTCTTAGTATTTGCGTTTCATGGTGAAAATGTTATATATGGTACAGATAATCTTTGTTTAGATACCACAATTAGAACTGGCAAATTGATTGTTAAGTGAAGCAGTCACCAAGCAAAACCAAAGCTGTGCTTATCATCTTACCTCAACTTAACAGCTTTAAGGACCTGCGGAGATTGTAAAAGGGAGGATTACATTGCAAAGTTATTTTTGCATCACCTCTGTAACTACAAAAAGTCACTAAATGAGGCAGTTGCTGACCAAGGACTACCAGCAATTAGTTTGCAGCTGTTTTTCACTTTTATGTTGAAATAGCTATCATTGATTCACTCCATCAAAATCGTGTTTCTTTTTGTGGTTATTAAATTATATAACAAAGAAAATATGAAAGATGGAAAAAGAGGCCCAGGAAGGATAGAAAAAAAACCCATGGAGACTAGAGGTAGAAATGGCGGGGACAATTTGTCCTTACTCCATTTCCAATTTCCATGATAGAACTCAGAGCAAAAAGGTGTTCCTCTTTTATTTGTGTATAGCTCTATTGGGATTCCAACTCCCAAAATTCCTAGTCACCATAGCCACAAGAAAACCTCGCTTGCATTTATGAATTTTATAATCTGGAGAGTATGGCCTGCCTCATGCTCTAAGCTACTTTTTTCTTTTAACATGATTTTCTTAACCATTTTAAGGTTTGTATGTTTTTATCATTGGCTGCTATTCTTTTCCAAGATCATTTTTACTGCATGACACTGTACGGAAGCAACTATACGGGCCGTTGTGATTGACAGGCAGCAAGTACAAGTTTTAAGAAAATAAATAGAAACACATCATTAGTGCCGCTGTGATGCAAAGCAGGTTATCTTTCTTCTTATTTGCTCTACTAATCCACCCACCTGGAATCGATAAAGACTGGTGTCCCCTTTGAGATTCAGATTCTTTCGGTCCTGAAGAGGATAGACGTACCCACACTTCACCATCATACTTCCTAAATGTAGCCCCTCTTTTAAAAAAAAACCAATACAGATCAGTTGCTTTCAATGGGGAACACAGAATAAAGGCAAACTACTCACTTCAGGGGGAAAATATGTCACTTAAAAATAATTGTATGTTCTTACCTTCGTTGGTAATCTCCAAACGCTTCACAATCCATTGCAGCATATCACAACCTGGAGGACAAAGACAACACAGACAACAGATACTATGCATATGGGTCAACCCAAGTTTCATTCCTTCTTTTCTTCCTGGTTAGTACAGTCCTCGACCTACGACCACAATTGAGCCCAACATTTCTGCTGCTAAGCAAGACAGTTTTTAAGTTAATTTTGCCTCATTTTACAATCTTTCTTGCCATGGTTGTTAAGTGAATCATTGTAGTGGATAAGTTAGTAACACGGTTGTTCAGTGAATCTGACTTTCTCCTTGACTTTGCTTGTCAGAAGATTGAAAAAGGTGATCATATGATACCAGGACATTGCTACCATCATAAATATGAGTCAGTTGCCAAGCGGCCAAATTTTGATCATATGACCATGGGGATGCTGCAATGGTTATAAGTGTGAAGAATGGTCATAAGTCACATTTTTCAATACTATTGTAACTTTGAACGGTCACTAAATGAATGATTGTAAGTCAATAACTACCTGTAGGAATCTGTATTTTCTGGACTATAAGACACACTTTTTTGTCTCCTAAAAAGGGGGGTGAAAATTTCTGTGCATCTTATAGACCGAACATTGCGGAAGCCCCACCCATCCACCAGCCATTTTGGGGCCTTTGCACATCCTGTTTTTTGGCCTTTTTTCAGGGTTTTTTCCCCCCCCCAAAAAAAAATGGGTCAAAAAACCCTCAAAAACAGACCAAAAAAAGCCAAAAAACCAGGTCGAAAAAACCCTCAAAAATGGGTAGAAACAAAAAGGCTGGGAAAGGGCTGAAAAAAGGCACCAAAAAGGGGGGCCAAACACCTTTTGTTGTTGTTTTCCTCTTCTAAATTTAGGTGCGTCTTATAGTCTGAAAAATACGGTATATTTATCTACAGAGGCGATGGGAAAACTAGAAATCTACAGATATACCTCACAGCACCATGAGCAGACAAAGCTTTGCTGGTGAGCTGAGGTTATTTTAAAAAGGGGTCACTGTTTAACATCTATTCTATATGGATCTCATTTTTTTTTCATTTAAAGAGGTGTTTGCATTCCTCTCAAAACTTACATATAATATTTGGTTAAAGGGAAAGCAGGATTACAGAAAATATACATGTGCATGTCCTGCTTTGTGGCAAATAAAACCAAAACATTACAGTTGCAATGCTTTTAAAGGCTTTTAAAAGAATTAAAAACCTTTACTACTTAAAAAAACATACAACAGAGCCAATTAGTGCAGCAATCTGCAGCATGGTGAAAAATATGCTCATGGTTATCTTCTGGGACACTTGTCAATCTCCCTTATCAAACCTGACTCTTAAACTGCTTTAGTGTCTCTTAAATTTGCAGAAATGGGAGGTTGGTGTGCTGCTACAAAAGAAAGGTTTAACTTCCAACATTGTTTTTGTTTGCAAAAATGCCTTTCAGCTTTGCATACACCACCTAGAAATCTTTGCATATTAAAAATGGAAGGCGACAGCAGCCTAAGGCCTTTTTTTGCCAAAAAAGAAAGAAAGAAAAATAGAAAGAAAGAAAGAAAGAAAGAAGGTGGTTCCAAGATGCTAGTAAGTGGTTCACTTGCTTTCTGGGAAATGGATATATTTAGAGAGAGATAAGTCATCTTGGAGTCCCTTGGACTGCAAGGTGATCAAACTGGTCAGTCCTAGAGGAGATCAACCCTGACTGCTCTTTAGAAGGCCAGATCCTTAAGATGAAACTCAAATACTTTGGCCACCTAATGAGAAGGAAGGACTCACTGGAGAAGAGCCTAATGCTGGGAAAGATTGAGGGCAAAAGAAGAAGGGGACGACAGAGAATGAGGTGGCTGGATGGAGTCACTGAAGCAGTCAGTGTGAGCTTAAATGGACTCCGGGGGATGGTAGAGGACAGGAAGGCCTGGAGGAACGTTGTCTATGGGATCATGATGGGTTGGACACAACTTTGCAACTAACAACAAAAAAAGTCATCTTGGATACTTGGATACATATGCCAAAGTAGGGTCATTTTGTTAAACCTCCACATTCATAATTCCAAATAAATTCAGGGGCTCAAAATGGCTGACTTCATCTCAGCTATTGTAGTTATCTGAGGAAAGACAAACTGGTATGAAATATACATAGTCCTCAACTTATAACCATTTGTTTACTGACAGTTTGAAATTACAATAGAACTGAGAAAAACTTACTTATGACCATTTTTCACCTTTATGACCATTACAGAAATCCCATGGTCATGTGATCAAAATTCAGATGTTTGGAAACTGGCATGTATTTATGACACTTGGATTGGGATCATATGATCCTCATTTGTAATCTTCCCTGCTGCCTTCCAAGAAACAAAGTCAAGTGGGGAAGCCAGAGTCACTTAAGAACCGCATGATTCATTTAACAACCGTGGCAAAAGGTTGTAAGATAGTGCAAAAGTCACTTAACAACTGTCTTGCTTAACAATACAACTGGTTGTGGTTATTAAGTCAAAATATACACGTAAGAGAAAGGATAACAGCATGAACTATGAAAAAAACACCTGCTATTTGGTCCTATTTTGGATTCTAATCAAAATAATTGTTCCAGCCCCCAAAGGATCCCTTGGCCTAATAGTAACTTGAGTTCTGTGGTCTTTTTAAAGTCTTTAGTATTTATGGTATCTCAAATGATTTAAAGCTACTTGCTTTTTTACCAAAAAGAACCCTTTCCTTCTGATTTCCAAAGCACACGTTTTTGCTACATTGAGTTGTTAAAAGATGAACTCTGCCTTGGGCTTGCAACTGAAAAACTAAATCATAATGCAACATATGGGGAAAATGTGGATTTAATTGTATTCTCTCAACAAGGTGACTCACTGGGAACATAGTATTTCCTTTACAAAAGAAAACAGCAGGTTAGCCAGCAGTCATGTATTTCAACTAAAGAGTTACTTGGAAATTAAAAATGAAGCACAAAAGCAGGCATCAGATTTCAAAGGCTAGAACCTATATCCTAGCCAGTAAAAGACTATTCAGGGAATTTATATAAAATGAGGATTAATGCTGTCTTCAAGTACATTTAATTAATGTGAAATGGCTAGTAGAGAAGAAATGATGAAGATGCATTTGTGGTTTTCTAAGAGGTTGGGGTGGAGGTTTTTTTTTTAAGGGAAAGTTAAAAAAAAATCTTACTTATGAATCAGAAATATAGTGCACATTTTCAGGCATGTTAAAACCAGAAATCTAATTTGGGAACAAATCCATTTCTCTGGGCATGTATTCATGCTCAGTTCTAAATGCTGCCAAAATGCAATTCAAAATGCTACCCCTTCTTGACATGTGATTGCTTGAGAAGCACACATCAGCAGTTAGGAGCTCTTATCCCCATTATGGAAAGTGCTTCCCAAAATAGAGGAAATTAAAAGATTAACCTGTCACTCAGACCCTGCTTAGGTAACCTTATCTGCATCTGCTTTTCCCCTTAAGAGACGATGCTTACTGTCAGAACCCTGAATTCACCATAAAGCTATACCTGTTACTGTATTCAGAGGAATGCGGAGGCCTTCTGTTTCCTTCCTCTTAAGAGATACAGCCACTACAACTTCAAGTTTTTTTTTCATTGACCAATGAGTAAGGAGGCAGGACAACTGAAATTGTTTAAACTGAGAGATTGCCATGAGACAATTACTGTACAAAACCAACATCAATCAAATCGCCTTTGAACTAAGAATATCATTATTTGATGAATGTGACATAAGTTAAATGAACCATGGAAAAGAACTGGAAAGAATATTGCAAGGTAATGACTGGCTAGGAAAATGTTGTCGACAGGACAAAATATTTCCTAGGACTATCATCTGAATTAGTTCAACTAACAGGCTGCACTTTACAAGGCTTGTAAAAATGTGTGCAGTCAAACCGTGGCAAGCTGGTTCAGGAGAGCTTGAAATGGAATCTGAGGGTTGGGGGTTTGGAAATGAAAATCCTGAAGTACGCTTGAGGAAGTGGGGCCGCTGCTGAAGGATGCTTCTTAAGCTAGTCAAAGAAAAATGGGAAAAATTATTATTATAGATTTAATTTTCTGCAATCAACTCTGAGAACCTGGAAAACGGAGTATTATCTCTACGCCTTGCCTAAAATACTAACTTCCATGATAATCTTACAGTTCTTATACTGAGATTATTATTTTGGAGTAAGGGCAGTACATTTTTAATATACATATACATACAAGTGCTCCTTGATTAACAACCATTTGTTCAGTGACCTTTTGAACGCCACAGTATTGAATGAATGGTAATTATAACCCGTTCTTGACTCTTACGTTCCTGCTGTTGCAACATCGCTGCAGCCTTGTAATCCAAATCCGGGTCCTGGGCACCTGGCTTGCAATTACAATGTTGCAATGTTACATAGTCACCTGACCTTCTTGGCCAGGTGTCTACTAGCAAAGTCAATTGGGAAGCCTGCAGGAGATCACAAAGGGGGACCACATGATGTCCTTGCTTAATGGTCATGATGAATTCACTTAACCCAGAAAGTGCTAGAATTGCTGCCACAGTCATGTGACATCACATTTTATGACTCTGTCATTTAGCAATGAAAATTCCAAACTCAACTGCCGTTGCTGGAGAATAAACTATGGAAGCAAGACAAGTACAGTTTTCCCTAGTATTGTCTGACCTTAAAACAGATACTGAAATTGGTTTTAAATGAATAGCTTCTAGGACTACCAATCAAAACTATTACATAGCTACTCTGCCTTTGTCTCCTTAATGGATTTTCTGTGACAATTAGTGGAAGAAGTGGGAAAGCAAAGAAAGGCTACAAATAGCAGACAATAATGTCAAGGTTTTTATAGGGAAGGTTGCTGTGAGCACGGTGGAGAGTCAGCTGAAGACTACTCTAGAAAAAACAGATTATCTAAATTCCTTCCACAGATATACAGGTCTTTATTATCATTTTTCCTCTACAGCACGGGTGTCAAACTCAATCGTGTCATAGGACGGATTGTGACGTAACATGACTTTTTTGTCTTTGCGGAGCCGGGTAGGCGTGGCCTGAATGTGACATATCCAGCCCACGGGGCTGCCAGTCTGACAGGCCTGCTTTATAGTGTTAGGATCAGTGGCGGGATTCAAAAAAATTTACTACTGGTTCTGTGGGCATGGCTTGGTGGGTGCGGCATGGCTTGGTGGGCATAGCAGGGGAAGGATACTGTAAAATCTCCATTCCCTCCCCAGTCCAGGGTAAGGTTACTGCAAAATCCCCATTCCCTCCTGATCAGCTGGGACTCAGGAGGCAGAGAATAGATGGGGGCGGGGCCAGTCAGAGATGGTATTTACCGGTTCTCCGAACTACTCAAAATTTCCGCTACTGGTTCTCCAGAACTGGTCAGAACCTGCTGAATACCACCTCTGGTTAGGGTGGCAGTTTCTGTTGTCATCTTCTTGGACTGCTATTGTGACTGTTTTCCAACATCAAAGGAAGGAATAAAGTGACTGATGAATATGGAATAATAATACATAATGAAAACCTAATGTATGAGATTGTCTTCTATTGTCCAGTATGTCAGACTTACCAACCACAGTATGTGGAATGCTGTTCTCCGGCATGTTCTGAATTTGTGTTTTGATGCCAGATTGTGGATCTTGCATTTCTACCAACAAAACCTCCAACTGCAAATCGTAGTAGAGATGTATGAGGAATGAAACAAAAGGAAAAGCAGTAAGAATTACATGAGTATGCAAAATGAACAGAAATATTATTCCTTGACTTAATTCTCCGGGAGTCCTCCGGGATTGGGTGGCCTATAAATCTAATAAATTTAATTTAATTTAATTAATTAATTAAATGCACTAATAAGAAAAAAGTAAACATTTAAACCACTGTTTTAAGTGCTTTATTACTGGAGACATTGTTTCTAAGTGTGGCTGATTAATGACAGGTTGGTACACAAGAAAACCACCTCCATCCACAACACTGCGGTAGATGAATACTTTAACCTGGTGTCAGATCATTTCCTCATCAGAAGGTGAATCACAGTTGCCCAGAACCTGTGTGGAAGTGGGGAGGCATTATTTTGGTTTGTCCTGGTTGCCTAATAGATCTGGATGGTTGTCAGAGAGTATTTGGGGTTTGCCCTGACAATCTGATAAGACAGTTCTATCTCATGCCAGGTCAACCTGTAGAATGTGGAGGTAACCAAAGTACATGATACAATTGCCCCAGAGTAGCCTTTCTCCATTCACCAGTCCTCGCCTGTTCCTTGGTTTACTGAGGAGTTGAAGGAAAATAATATTTGAGTGCCCATTTATGGTTTTATGAGTTGGCATAAAACCATACATGGGCATGACCAAGCATTGATAAAAGCCCAAGTTTAGAGTTACACAGAGCATAAAATGATCAATTCTTCTTCTTGCTTATTTCATCCATAGACTGTCAACCAATAGTCTTGTCATGAAACCCAAATCCTGGGTTTGTGGGAGAAATGGGCAAGCCATTGCTTCAACATTTACATCAAATTGTGGGTTTTTGAAACACAAATTTGCTTGTATTCCATTTGTAAGAAACTGATGGAGATAGTGTTGTTTTTCAGGAAAGCAAAGAAAGCAATTTTTAAGAGATGTGGCTATAAAAGTTCAGTAGGAAATTGGGACATTAAGGGTAAAAAGTTCAAGACTGGAAAAAAGGAAGGGTCTGCTATTCCAATAAGCGAGTCAACTTGGGCACAGATTAGTTAACAGTTTCAACCATACAGCCTAGTTACTAGGCCCTAGTATATAGTGGAGAAATTAAGTAACTACTTGCCTCAATTTATTATGCTTATGCTGCAAGAATTGTAAGGAAACAAGAAATGTAGGTTAAGTAATAAAAAAAGGGACAAAGGTAATCTGGAAAAGGGGGAACTGGGCAAAACATGGGGAAACAGATTAAACAAGGGGAAATTCATGGAGAAACAGGTGTTCCAGGAAGATTGCAACCCTGTGGTCTTCGTCAAAGGGGGCTTCAGGGAGGGATTTGTAATTGGGGTGGAGGAAATAAAAAGCTGGAGAAATGTATTCCTCTGCGTGCCTACATTGCTAGCCAGCGGCACTTGCAAGAATGTATTTAACATGCAATAAACTGTTTGCTGCTTCACTTCATGACTCTGTCAAATTTCTGACTGGTGAGTCCACTTTTACAAGTTTGGTTTGGATACTAATCGGACAGAAGCTATAGTGATGTCTTGTAAAATTATCTAAGGTTGTTTGGAGCCCACGAATCTGAGACTATGGGCAGGTCCTCTGTATAATGCTATTATCTGTAAGATTGACTGACTGACAGGTTTCTGTGGCTGATTTGGGAGATAATTAACACCTTTTGAGGGAAGGCATGATGCTCACTGACTTGAAGAGACAGAAGTAGTACATAATACAAATGAATGAATAATCTGGAGAAGCCTTCCCTGGACCCAAGTGTTCTTGATAACGTTAGTCCAATTTCCAACATCTGGGAAAGGTTGTGAGGTTGTGGTTCAACTTCAGAGGATCCTGGAAGAAACAGATTATATGGATCCTTTCCAATCAGGTTGACTGGCAGAAACTGCATCTGTCTTTCTGCTACACGATCTTCATTGGGACTTGAATGGGAAGAGTCTTGGTCTTTTTAGATCTCATGAATATTTGACTTCAATAAAGCATTGCCGGCAGCAGTTGAAATTTGAGGGCACCACTTCTGGAGACAGTTCCATAAATATGCAATCTTTGTGCATGAAATTATAGCACTGCTTCAGTAAAGACAACCCTCTCTAATCTATAGTAATTTCTCCTTTAGATCAATACAATGTGCTCTATATGGGTGTAGAAAGTAGAGGATGGCTCTGACATAGAGAGGAAAGTATTGTTACCAAGGCAAAGAGTAGATAAACATTGCTTAAATCTGGGGGGGTTGGAGAGGGTTATGAAAATATCTCACATAGGTATCCCTTAATTCACATGATATATAGAGGAAGGAAGAGAAGTACATTCAGACTTGTAAGAGTCTGTCACCACAGCCAATGTTAATAAAAACAGAGTTAGGCCTATGTGGCATCTGTTGTCTGATCTGATCAACTTTATAGATGTGTAATTTCCAAGATATCTTGCAAAAGTGTAATTCTTACCAGACCAAGAGGACTGACACTAATGGTTATTATGACATTGTTTTCATTGGCTCTCGTGTATTTCTTGACCCAATTCAATTTATCAGTCCTTCACACACTCAAAGCTTCTTCTCATATGTTCCTACATAATATGCCAGAAGATCATTTTTTGGAGGTTTTGCTCTGGGTGTCCTCTCAGAGCAGTGAACCTTAATCTATGTTTCAGACAAGAAGCTTATTAAGATTTTAAATGGTAACATTATGCCAGTAGTGATTGCTTATCATAAACAGATCATATTTAATGCTTCCATATCTAACCAGATAACTGATGGTCTCTGAAAGCCACTAAAAACCTTTGGCCAACTGATAAAGAATCCGCTTCTAATTTGGGAGCAGATCTCGTAATTAGTAATTAACACTGACTCACAAATAGTTGGATGGTGGTATTGGATCTGTTTAACAGAGTATGTACTAAACTGCAATATCAAGCACCTTATTCCCTCTCTCATGTTATTTTTATGTTTCTGAATTAAACTCACCTATTTCGTGAACTGTTTTACTTTTCCCATGTTTAAAGACAAGACAATAAATCCCATTGCGTTAAAAAAAAACTTTAATGTACTTATATTCATTGTACCAGAAACCTGAAGACAAATGAGATGTATATCTAAGCATTTCTATATTCAGAAAACTTTAAATCCTCTTAAATTGGCACAATACCAATTGAATGAGTAGCTGTTGATCTTAGGTTTTATCCCACAGGTTTGCAGGATCTGCTTGTTTCTACCCTGCAGTTGCCTAGTTCTTATTGTTATTGTTATTAATATATGACGCAATGAGAGATTTTGTCAATTAGCAGACTTATTACAGGAAACCTCACTCCGATTGGGGCTGAGAAGGTGTGATTGACAGAAGGTCATCTTGTAGGCTTTATCTTGTAGTCTAAGAGAGGATTAAAACCTGACTCTCCCTGCTCCTAGACCTAGACCAAATCTTTACCCGGATTTTTGTCCATCACACTATGCTAGCTGTCCAATTTAATTAATAGTTAGAGAAATAAACAAGGAATCAGATCTTAAGTAATACCAGCAGTTGTTGTTTATCATAAATGCAAAGAGATACTAGAGACCTCTGATGGCAAACCTATGGCAGGCGAGGTGGCACACGGAGCCCTCTCTGTGGGCACGCACACCATTGCCCCAGCCCAGCCAGCTGGTCATTGGGTTTCTTACACTTTGGTGCACATGTGCACACACGCCTTCTGGTTTGGGCACTCTGTGCCAAAAAGGTTCACCACCACTGCTATAGATTAAGGAATGAGAACCTGTTATGTTTTAGCAGTTCCTGAACTATAATCCCTGGCTATGCCATTATAATCAGCATTTTAGATAGTAGGAGTTGTAATTCAGCAATGTTTGGGATCACAGGTTTTCCTTCCTTGTACAGGTAGTGTTCGACTTACAATTCAAATTTCTGTTGCTAGGCAAGACAGTTGTTAAGTGAGTTTTGCCCCATTTTACATTTGGCTAGTTAAGTCGGGACTACCTATAATAGAAAAGGACACAGACACAAAATCACAAAAGTTCATTTTTTAGTCCAAAAATCTTAGTCCAAAACCCCTTTAAAAGCCTTTAAACTCTGGTAAGGAGCTTGGGCAGGCAGATCGGCCCTCCGGAGCACCATACAGGAACGGTGTCCAGTGCTCCGGCTTTGCTCCGGTACGCCCATACTGGGGTGTACCGCCTGCAACCCACCACTGGTTTGGAACCTCCAGTGTTTTATTCTACAAATCAGCTGTTCTGCTACATCATTGTTAAGGAAACTATCATTTATTCTGATTTACTTTGAAAAAACTTCCCCAATGTTCCCTCCAGAGGTATTGACTACAATTCCTACCACTTCTAGCCAATACTGGGAATTTAATTCAGCATATCACATTTGGGCAACCCTGGGGAAATATCCTACCCTGTTTTCCCCAAAATAAGACCTCCCTGGATAATAAGCCCAATCAGGCTTTTGAGTACATGGGCTAAAATAAGCCCTCCCCCCAAAATAAGCCTCCCCAAAATATTGCAACACAGCAGCAGCCATGAGGTGACCATGCTTGCCACCTCCTGCACCTCAAAAATAATAAGACCTCCCCAAAAACAAGGCCAAGCGCTTATTTCGGGGGTAAAAAAAATAAGATCCTGTCTTATTTTCGGGGAAACGCGGTATTAAAGTGGGCAAAATGCAGTAATGGCTTTGTCAGTGATATTTAAATTAATGTTTTGTGGAACAAAAATTACTAATACAGATCCAAAACTCTATCAAAATATATACACATGTTCTCATCCCATCTTTTGTTATTTTATGTGGAATTTAGTCATTTGCTAAATTTCAAATGTCCTCATGATAAAAGTATATCTCCAGAGATGTAATATAATATCTACTCAAAATGGTGCCTATTATAAATGATTATATATTAATCAAGATCTTTACATGTACTGGATTCAATTTCATTTGTTTCAATATCTGAGGACATTATAATAACCTAAGGATTACATGTATTTTCTTCCCTTCAAATTACCCTAGCAGAAATCAAGTAAGAACATAGTGAAATTGGATATTTAAGGTTGTTACTGTCAGCCTTGTGAGACAGTCAAGACCAGAAGAACACCCAGATGAACTAATCCCATTTCATTGTAAAATTACATTAGTGGGAATCATGCAAGATTCTACAATTTCTCCCCTTCTCTGTTTTTAGTTTGTGGAAAACTAAGAAAGGTTCCCTCTTAAATGCTTCTCCCACTTTCCCCTCACCTGCAGAATAAACTGCCTTTTATCAGACTGTTTCCCAAGCCCATGATGGCAAACCTATGGCACCTGTGCCCAAAGTGGCATGCAAAGCCATATTGCCCGGCATGCGAGCGTTGCCTGTTTGTCTTCTGAGTTTCTGGCGTGCAGGCGCGCATGACGATCAGCTGTCCTTCATCCATGTGGAAGTGCCAAAAACTGGTGTGCACATGCATGCTGGCCAGCTGATCATCAGGCGCGTATGCATGCTAGAACCCAGAGGTTTGGCTTTTCCAGAGCGTTGTCACAACGAGCACACATGCACGAACGGAACATTTCCGTGCAACCTTTTCGGCACTCGGTGCTGAAAAGGTTCGCCATCACTGTCCTAGGCTGTGGGTCCACTTCCTAACTTCTAAGGGCATTCTTGTATACTTATAACAATCATGACAGCATCTGGGAAGAAGGAAAGACATTGTGGCATCTCTCTTTGCGCATGTAAATATATATATTTGCAATGTGGAACAAATATTATGACAGAAGAAAACTAGATTTCCTCTCACTGTTTTTTTTAAACCTGTATTTTTGACAGCTTTTCTTAATTTCTGTTCAGCAAAAAGTGTTATAATGTGAGTGTCCTAGCACATACACTTGAAGTAGTAGGATTATCAGCAACAATCCCAAGAATCTTTACAGGGCAACGAGGAGCTACAAGAAAGCTAACTCTTTGTTGCCCACTAATGGTTGACTGGATTTTTGCAGCCTACATCTGATAGCCCTAAAATGGGAGGTTGTTGTGTCTCTGTAAATTCAAATTATGGACAACAAAAGGGAAACGTTCATAGGAGAAAAATGAGTTTCATGCCTTGTCTGCTTAACCCTTTTCTAGATTCTAGCACGGTTTTCTACATATTCTTTAGGGAAAGGAGATAATAGTAAATTCATAACTAGTTCTACATCAACATGTTGTCAGAAGGTGATGGAAAATTGTAGTGCATTAACCTTAAAGGTTGAGCAAATTGATGCCAAGAAAAGGAGAATTTGACCTCTTCATCAAAGCAGCTATGAATAGGCAGGGAATAGATTGTTGTCAATTACTTCCTTTTACATTTATATATCACTTTTACTTTCCATAAAAAATCCCAAAGTAGTTTACAATGTCATCATACCACTATTATTTCATCTATTATTATGTATATTAGACGAATTGCTAGGCAAAGGAACACTTGGCAATCAACAAGTCTCATATCACCGGCAGAAACATCCCACATCCGGAACTAGCCGAGTCTCAAACAAAAGAGAATTGTACACAGTGGATTTCATGGTAAAAATGCTCTATAAACATGGTTTCATAGGCACTGCAAAAATATCAACACAGTGTCCTATTGAACAATCTAACTAAGTTTACTCCATACTTTAAAGAGAAAAAAAAGACCACCAAATTTTGGATGACAAATTGTTGGGTTTTTTTTTAAAGTATGGAGTAAACTTGATTACATAGGTTGCATATCATAACTCAAATCATTCAAAATCAATATCAGTTCATTCAAAAAAGAAAATCAAGATTCATGAAAATATAGACAGAAGCACAAATAACATTCCGTAAAACATAGGAAAATGTGTTGAGGAAAACAACTCTGCTTGACCCCACTAGCCACTATTCAGGAATGAAAGTCAGGTAAATCTTGGCTAAATTCAACATGATGTACTTCTTGACATTCTATATTACGGCTGTTGCTATAGCGAAGTTCCTACCTCATGTCACTGCCAGCTGTATTTGAAGTAAAAATGTGATGGTGAACATGAGTAGATTGGTATAAGGGAAGGAGTTCCTTTAGCAGTTTCATAGGGAAGAAAAGGCAAGGTAGATATTTTTAATTTTATTTATCACATCTCCCTCACAGAGAGAGGCCCAGGATAGCTTATCGTGAGGAATAAGTGTAATGCTGTAAACTTCGAGGGTTGTGATTTTTATATTTTAAATTACTTATAGCCCGAGATGGATGAAAAATTAAACTGTTTCCAGTTTCTGAAAAAGAAATAAAGGTAGCATGGACTTGCAAAATAGCAGTGATTATAATTAACAAGAATAACACTGCCTTCAAAAGCTTATAGGCACCCATACTTGTCAACGTTATTTTAAGCAGCTTCTAGCATATCTAGAAAGGTGGCCCTGTAACAGGTTGCTCTCCTTTTGAAATGCTAAAAAAATACAAAAGACATCACACTACAGCAAAGATCCACGCAAAGAAAAAATAAACAAACAGTGGCAACTAAATCAGTACCAAAGACTGAACTAATGACAAGATTTTTGAACTGTAACAAACCACACACCTACTAGAATATTTTTTTAAAACCCTTCTCTCTTATAGCCAAACCTTGGTAGTATCAGCTGCTTTAGAGCTGTTCCCTCGGTTTCACGTTCTTCCATTTATAAGATACTGTAGGTGCTAAATAAAATAAAATAAAAATTGAAAACGAGATTGGCTTTGTTACCTTTTTCAAGAATGCCATTCTTGGCCTGTACCGCTGTCCTTGATCTATCTGCGCGATGGTCATCGTGATCTATTTTATTGAGCAAAATATTTTTTTTTTAAAGCAATAAATGCGTTTTCACCAGCTGCAGAGGAAAATGGGATGCTAGTCTTAGGGATTTCAGGCAAACTGCATTACAGTACTGAAACTCGACATTCTACAGAATAAAAGCGCCGTGGAAGAAGGCACGGTCTTGCTGTAGCCAATCAACACGGGGCACTCTGGTTGTATTTGCATGAGCAGGGTTGTGCTTCCTACCGGTCAACATTAGAGGGAGCTCTTTCATCTTTTTACAAGACTTAGCTGGTAGCAAAGACTGCGTTGTTCTATCTAAATAATGCTAAATAATAAATAAAGATAAATTAATTAATTAATAATACTAGGGTTAGAAAGTATTAGCAAAATGCACATCACCATAAGATAAAATTAGGGGTGGAAATCTGCATGCTGTTTGGTTGAATAGGTTCACAGGGACATTTTTTTCACATTTAAATATAATGTGACAAGTTGCAATCAGTTTTATTTCTAGTTTGATTTACTCACACTCGTCGAAATAATATGGAATGTGAGACCAAACTAAATGTTTTTCCTTTTTTACAAGTTTATTTCCTACCTTTCTTTAGAAAGCTCAAAGCACTTGACACACGTGTCTTTTTCAATTTTATCCCCATCGGTCTAATACTTTAATCAAAATACTACACTGGCTGATCTGATATCGGAATAAACGTGTAACTGGAAATGATGAAATAAGTAAGATTCTTTCAAGTAGTGTTATAACACCACCACCAGGCCTGCTCCAAATAACTTGTGGCTTACTGACTGGTTGTAGGGAACACAAAGCTAAAACTACTGAACAGTTGGTCTGTGTATCGCATAAATAAATCCAACAAAGTAAAATAAATAACAGTATATAAATAAAGATATATAGACTTATTTGTTTATTAACATTTCTATGCCATTATATTCCCGAGGGCTCAAATAGATGATATAGATGATGATAAATTTAATAAATATTATTATGTACACACCACACACACACACACACACACACATACATATACTTTTATCGCTTTTAATCTTGTAAGTTGCCCAGAATCACTTTGTAATGAGATGGGCAGCAAATAAATTTAATAATAAATAATGATGATGATCAGTGTATGCATTTATTCCGTAGGGAAAAATCCAGCTATACAGGTAATTACTTTGTATATGTCAAAGGAAGCCATACAGAACACCACATAGATTGGAGAAACAACTAGAAACTCAATGACCTAAAAAGTAGTTTATTACATATTTTTGCATAGACAAGTTTATTAACATGCTTAAGTCACACGTGTAAATTGTTGTAAGTTCGGGTTCAACTGTTTCATGAAAGAAACTGATATTTGTAATGCTTTTGCACCTGAACTGGCATTTAAGTCAGTGACAAAATATTGTGAGGAGTTGCCATTTTTCCTCATTTGTTCTCTGTATACCACTGACTATTATGGTTTGATGGTACTCCTTATAGATAATTATCACTCTTTGCACTTCCTACATATAACTTTCTTTTGACTTTTCCTTCTATGTCCCCTCTCCCAAACCTGAGAATAAAGTTATCAATCTGGACAACCAAAAAATGACAGCAAAGAAATACCAATCTAGCAGCCTAATTGGGAAAATAGGTAATACTCCTCTCTTAAGATATATTTCATTTAATTGATGAAGAAAATTTAGGTATAAAAGAATACATCATAATAAACAGCTAAAATCACAAAACCACTTAGGTAACAGTAAAATCATTTTGGATATTTTGTAGTTTGGCATATCTTGGGGAATTCAGCCATTGTTTCAGAATGTTGTATTAATCAGACCATCATATTAATCTATAGTCTAGATTATTTATTTGGACATAATATGGGCAAACCGGAAGTCCATTCCCATTCCTGAAGCCTCCAGAGGGCCTCCAGGAGGGGGCTGTTTTCGCCCTCCCCAGGCTCCTAGAAAGCTTCTGGAGGGTGAAAAATTGGTCCATCGCACGCCAAAAAAACCCCGCATTGCCCCCGCTTTTGGCATGCAATGGGAAAAGGGTTAGAAATCACTGCAATAGGCTGTCTGACAGAGCAGAGACAGTGGAAGGAAGGGATTCTGTCATTCTCCCCGCCCCCAATCTTAATTCCCTCTGTAAGTATTTGCTGTCAAGACTAACCAGGTTTCAAACTCCTGTTCAGGAGTTCTATTCTTACATTTGTTTCTTAAAAATCTATTTCCTATTTTACACAGAATCTAGTTTAGGAACTTCTTTCAAGAAAGAAGACTTTCTTTGTAAAATTGCATAGACAAAAAATTACCGTAGTTTGCAGAGGTTTTGATGCTATCCTAAGTATTCCTGAAGTGCACAATTTATGTAAAATATTTTTCTTCTCAAATTAAATTTACTTTATTGTCATTGCACCACGTACAATGAAATTAAATGCCATCTTCAGTATACATTCTAATAATAAAAATAAAACACAAACATACATCCTTCACTTTCTATACTCAATGTACATATATATGTTTGAAACTCCTGCTAACTGAAAACATCCTGAAGGAGCTATATTGTAGTACCAGAAAATACCCTCAACTAGGCTTAGAATCCTGGAAGTTGAAGCTCAAGATAATTTGAAGGGGTTTAGTGTGATCACTGATGATCTATGCAAGATTTCAAATTAAAAGGATAGGGTGGATTAATGTGTGCATTTATTAATCTAAGTTTCTAATCAGGCTTGCATGAACACAACCAGAATGATTTCTATACAGTAAGAGCAACACTCATCTTTCTTCAACAGCCCCAAAAGATACATTGCTGCCCTCCACAAGGTACAATTAAAAAAAAATCCAGGTGGCAGCCACAACAGTGAAAAATGAAACTCTGCCTGCTTTTCATACAGTATGCAACCATTGAGGTTTGATCACATTGTCTTGGCTAAAATCTTGATTTTTTTATTATTTGCAGAAACCCATTTGAGGAACTTCTGACAGAGAAGTTGTGGGTGGCTGGGTAGGCAACTGAACTAAGTACCAAGGGAATCAGCAGTCACAGTTCAGGCCTTGCCCCTTCTCCACCCCACCCAATACCTGAAGCAAGAGGCAGATTTTAGGACTATTAGAAGGCAGATTTAGGACGTTGATAAGAGCAACTGAGAAGAAAGTGAATATCATGAATGAGAAGATATTACGTTTTTGAATGAATACTTTATTGATTATGGCCCAAAGTCTGCAGATTTCCCAATTTACACTCTTTGATGCCTTCTGGGTGATGTTGTCGCATCTGATTACGGTACAATGATGGTTGTTCAAACGTTTTGGAATATTACTGAAGTGGGGAGAAATGTACATCTTGCACGAAGTTAACTAATATGCCATAAATTTTGCGTATGCATCCTAAGAGGAGAAAATTCAAATTGATTCGAGATCAGCCGAGGCTCATAGCGGGGCAACAGCTCGAGACGCCAAAACGACGAGTTCGAGGCTTTTTAAAAAAATAAATAAATCAGCCTCTGGAAAGAAAAAAAAACTCATCACGTGACAAATCCGAAGAAGGGGAAATTCCGAACACAGAGACCAGATGATAGGATCACGTGCTAGATCCAAGGGGCGGGGCCAGCCAACTTAGAAGACAAGCGCGGGTACCACGTGAAAGCAGGACGCCCCTTTGATTGGGCATTCTTAGACGCGACGCTCTCCGAACGGCGTCTCCTGTCATAGGGGCAGCCGGAGGGGCGGGGCCTGAGCGAGCGGCCCGGGTTTCACGCAGGCGCAGAGCGGTGCAGGGCCGCTGCGGCCGCTCCCTGGCTGGCAGTGTTCGCTAAGATGGCGGATTTCCTGCCGTCGCGGTCCTCGCTGTCGGGCTGCTTCCCCGGCTGCATGCTCAACAGCAGCGAGGCCGAGCAGCAGCGGCGGTCCAAAGCGATCGATAAGTGCCTGTACCGCGAGAAGACCTACGTCAAGCGGCTCGTCAAGATCCTTTTGCTGGGCGCGGGCGAAAGTGGCAAGAGTACGTTCCTCAAGCAGATGCGCATCATTCACGGGCAGGACTGGGACCGGTCAGCCCGGGAGGAATTCCGCGCCACCATCTACAGCAACGTCATCAAGGGTACGGTTGTGGGAGCGGGGGTGGGTTGCACAAGAGAGGCGGGCGGGCGGGTTGGCCGCGGCGATTCCCTCGGAGGGGCAACTGGCAGCGGGGCGGTCGCGGTCGAGCGACCAACCCCCGAGAAGACAGGCTGCTTCGGGAGAGAAAAGACCCAAAGCCGAAGAAACCCCGGCGTTGACGGGGGGTGGGATGGATGAGAAGCCGTTGCAATGCCCGAAGCCCCCCTTCCCGAGAAGGAAATCTGCTCTTGCATGGCTGCGAAAAAGAAAAAGAAAGAAAAAGTCACGCCTTATTCCCCCCCCCTTTTCCCCCCTGAAAGCATGGCTGAGACGGCCACCTTCCTTCCGCCGGACGCACTTTGGGTCGATTCTCTTTGGCGGCCGCACTTTTTGAGGACCCTCGAGAGGGGGAAAACGGCGGCGGATGGGGGGTGGGGTGGAACGGTGGGGGAGGGGAAATGGGCTCCAGGCTCGGGTAGCATCCGAGGGCAGGTGCCCCCGTCCTCGCCTCGGTTTTCGGATCGGAGCGAGGAAGAGGCAGTTGGGCGAAATCGGCGTCCGGTCTGGCGGATGTGGCCTGGACGGGGTGGGTGGGTGTGGGGTGGGAGACGGTGGTGGGTGGGTGAGTTAGAGATGCGGGAGCCGTTCAGGCCTCGGGGGTGAGTGTCAGAATAGTTCTTCTTTGTGCCCTGCGAGGCGTCGTCCTCGGTGCCTTGACGGGATGGCGTTTGTGTCAGACGGCCTTGTGTCTGTGTAAAAAGTTGCAACGGGCGCTTGCATTTTGCGGTGAGGCTGATGAAGTGGGGGGTGGGGAGCCCAGAGACGGGTGTGTGTGTGTGTGTGTGTGTGTATGTGGAAAAAATTAAGTATATAGTTTGGAGGCATTCTTACTGGAATCGCAAAATTAGAGTAGGCTGTGCATTATGTGCCTTTGAGAGGTTGTTGGTGAAATGTTGAGATGACCCTTAAGGCAGCTTTGATTTGGGCATGGTGAAAAATGTGTTAGGAAGGTCAGTTTCCAAAGAATACAAAGGGAAATTTAGGGTAGCATTATAATATATGTACAGCTTCATCTATACGCATATTTCATTTTAAACAAATATTGTGCCTAGTGTGCATTTTGCTTTTACAAATATTTCTTACCCGTGAAAAGTGTTGTTGAATGCAAAGATTTACTGCATTTTCAATTAAACCCTGCTGAATTCTTGTTGCAAGTTGTAACCATGGAGGTAACACTTCATATTGCGACAGGATGCTGTGAAACTGTGAAAAGAGATTTTGGAGGGATAGGTAGGGAATCCAACCATGAAGTAGCAATTCATAGATTAGTAGAAATAAATGTGGAACTTTTCGGATAGCAAACATAATTTGTCTTTTAGTGCCATTCAAGATATATAAACAACTTTGAATATCAGCTAATTTGTTGTCTTCTACCACCATGTGTTAGAAATCTGGAAATATATGATAACATATTGTACTACAATTTAAGATTGTAGCTTAAATAGACATTATTTGACACTGAAAACTGTAATAGACATCATTTTCATATTTAGTTATTAGGAAATGAAGATAAAACCAATTTCAAATATTTCAATTGTATTTGTTTACATTCTGTGGTGGTTTTAAGATCTACGCTAGCTTAAATGTAGAGTTTGATTTGAAAGATGGCTTATATTGAATGAATAAACAAAATCATTTTTCAGTGAGTGCAGCGGAAATGCACTTAGTTTTGTTACATACATACTGGTGTATTAAGGCCACTATTACAGTCCCTTACAAAATATTGCTAATAAAAGAGTACACTATAATACAAAGTATCTTTTGTGATTTACACTCATTCCGCCACTAAGATATTTTTTCATGTTTGACAGCTGTATATATTTCTTGATAAATAACTTTACATGTACTTTTTTTAAAAATATACATAAAGCCTCAATTGCTAATTGCTATTCTAAATTATTGGATACACTAAAAACAAACATTCTCAAACTTTCTTCCTTGATAATAGGAAAATTTTTATATCTATAAACACAGTAAAATGCATAACAAAAACTGACTACATTTTGCTATAAAAATCAAGACATTTCCTTTAATTTTATTTATTCTTTAGATCTATATTCCACCTTTCCAGGAGTTGAAGGCAATATACATACCGGTAGTACTCCCTTTTCCAATTTCCCCCTATAACAACTGTGCAACATAGTTTGGCCTAAGAGAGTGACTCATCACAGATTACCCAGTGATTCAAAATAGAGTTGAACCTGGGTCTCCATCCTTGGGGTCTTGTGGATAAAAAGCTATTGATAATACATTCAAACCAGAAAATAATTTGTTCTTGGTTGTTGTAATCTTGGACATGTTTTATGCTTTATGACAGTATCATGTGATAGATAATGATTATATGAAATAGCGTAGTGAACTATACAAAGTGCACTGTGTTTATAATCATGATATATTGATAATGTTAATAAATATTACATGCATGCATAAAATGTATTCTCCTAATGCACCTTTAGCAAAAGAGAAGTGCTAATATAAGACTAACAAATCTATGACAATGGTAAAACAATAACTTTTTAATACAGTAAACCAATATCTCATTCAGTCTTGAATCAATACACATTTTGCTTTTTTAAATTTTTATTTTTAAATATTTTTTAGGTGTTTAAACATCAAAAAGATTGTTTAAAATGTAGTCACATTTATTTGTATTTTAAATTAAATCCAATGCATTTAATAAAATTTTTGTTGCATCTTAGAATCATTTAAACTTTGACATATATGAGAATGATTAATCTATATTTTATCATTTTCTCCTGTTTGCTGCAGCTGTTTCTCTGCGTGTTTATGAGATGTAAAACTGCTGAGTTGAATATAGTAGAACTCCCAGAAGCATGTAATTAATTTTCGCTACTTTAAATGTCTGGAATTGCATATATGAAAATAAATATGAGCAATACTAAGCCTTTTACTAGAAAATTAAAATTAGTAAAACGTGATTCAAAATTTGATTGAATCCGAATGCTAAGTGTATAGATTTCAACTCAGCTTTAGAGCAGCCATCACTTATAATTTAAAGAAAGTGTTCATGATCATACTTTGGGAAACTTTTATTATTTTAAAAAAGTTTTAGAAGTATTTATTATATGTACAAGGGCAGGTGAAATCAAAAGAAATCAGAGACCTCGTTGTGTATAACCTGGTTCATTCTACGATAGTGGATTTGGGATTAATTGTTACCTATTTGTAGTCTGCATATATATTTTTCCATTTATAATTTCTTACAGTTAGGGTGAGAATATGAAGCTGTCTGTATACATGGGTCATGTTTTGTGTTTTGAGAGTAATCAATTATTAAGATTAATGTAAATGCATTTGGAAACTAACACATAGTTTCAATTTTGTTGAAGGTGTTAGAGTCCTTGTGGATGCTCGTGAGAAACTTCATATTCCATGGGGAAATCCTGCTAATCAAACAAATGGCGACAAGATGATGGCCTTTGATACCCGTTCAGAAGTGGTGCAAGGGATGGTGCAAACCTATACTTTCTTACAGTATCTTCCAACAGTAAGAGCTTTGTGGGCAGACACTGGTATCCAGCATGCTTATGACAGACGCAGAGAATTTCAATTGGTAAGGGTCATAACTCTTCATGTTTTGTAGTTACTGTGATAGTACTATTTAAAATCTTTTATAAATGAAATGGAGTTTTTTGGGTAAACTTTTTGTTACATGAACATGAATTTTAATACTGTAGATAATGATGGACATAAGGATATAATAGTAAATATAATTTCGGTAAAGCCAACTATAACAAGGTTTAGAATTTAAATGTTGACCTATAACCAATATTCAGCAGGCATATTTCTGTTCATGCAGTGAGACTTCCCATTTCCTCTCCATTCAGTTCTTGGTGCTTTCTGAGCTGGGCTGCTTTTTTCTTTTCTAACCTTTCTTTCTTTCTTTCTTTCTTTCTTTCTTTCTTTCTTTCTTTCTTTCTTTCTTTCTTTCTTTCTTTTTTGCAGACATTTCATAACCTAGCTAGGTAACATTATCAGTGCAAAGGAGACTGGACTTTTCTGACTGTTTATATATAGTGGCTTACCCTGCCAGTCTTGGTTGGGGTATGGTTACCTCCTTGATGGTTCCTTCATTAGGGAATTGTTTCTTCCCCGTTTGATCATCTGGTGCTGTTTCTTGATTTATTGGGTGTTGACTGCTTGGAGGGGTGGGTGGGTATACTAACTAGGTGTTAGTTTCCTTCCTAGGTTTTTGATTGTATCTATTAAATTGTATGGTAACAGTTTTGCAATTGACTTAGCTACAGTTTCAACTGGCAAACTGTTAACATTTTAAATCAATCCAAATCCAATAATGTTGGTTAATTTCTGGAAACTTAGTACTCAGAGAAATCAGTAATCAATAGATTCATGGATATAAAGCCCATTTATATATACCCCTCTCCCTCATGCTGGTGATGTTATCTAGCTGGGTAAAGTAACATCTGCAAGAAAATAACTACTGTATTTTTTGGAGTATAAGATGTACCTTTTTCCCTCAAAAAAGAGGGTGAAAATCTGGGTGCGTCTTATACATTGAATACAGCATTTTTGACCTACCGAAACCCGTCCCCCTTTGGAAAAATCAATGTGTAGAGGGTTTGGGGGGCTTGCAAAGTGCTCCTGAGGGCTGGGGAGGGCAAAAATAGAAACCAAAAACAGGCTATTTGGGGGGGGGGAGGGAGGCAGGCCCCAGGAGCACTCTACCCGTTTCCCAAACCTTCTGCCTCCCTTTAAAAAAAAAAAAGAGGTGTGCAGAGGGTTTGGGAGGTCTATAGAGTACAATTTTTTTTTTAAATTTACCTGTTCAAAATCATGATGTGTCTTATACTCCGGTGCATCTTATAGTCCGAAAAATACGGTAAGCTCTCAGACTACCAAGAACTAAAAAGTACAGCCTTCAGCTATACATGTTCTGTTGCAAGTTACTGTCTTTAATGCATGTTCTAAAAATTATATGGCAGGTAGACTAAAGTCCTTTAATAGGAACATTCCCCTCCAAAAACATTTTATTTTAGATTTATTTAAATTTATTTTATGGTAATAACAAATCCATATGCTATATTGTGACAGCTCAGTATCCAGAACAGAATTAGTGGGAATTGACTAGAAGAAATAAAGGGAGACTAGTATAGATTTATTTCAAACCATTTAGCTCTCGTTAGCTAGCCATACCCTTCTGGGATTCAAATCTGGGCTACTTACATATTAGGTACCGTATTTTTCACAGTATAAGATGCACCAGAGTATAAGACGCACCAAGGTTTTGAAGAGGCAAATTTTTTAAAAAAAGTTTTTGCACTCTGCAAACCTCCCAAAAATGACCCCGTTTCCCCCCCCCCCCAAAAAAGGGCAAGAATAGCTCTTAGGAGGCTTGTAGAGTGCTACTGGGGGGGGGGCAAAAAATGGCCCATTTTTCTCAAAAAACGGGCTCTTTTTGTCAAAAAAAAAGGGCATGTATAGCCTTTAGGAGCCTTATAGAGTGCTCCTGGGGACTGAGGGGGGCAAAATTGAGCAAAAAACGGTCCGTTTTTTTGCTCATTTCTGCCCTCCCCAGCCCCCAGGAGCTCTCTAAAAGCCTCCTAAAGACTATACATGGCCATTTTGGTGAAGGGGGAGGGGTTTCGGGAAGCAAAAAATGCTGTATTCAGTGTATAAAACACACCCAGATTTTCAGCCTCTTTTTGGAAGGAAAAAAGTGAGTCTTCTACTCCGAAAAATACTGTAGACATATTAACCTCTAAGCCATGGGCTCTCCTTGCTTTGTTCCCTACGCCAGTGGAGAGATTAAGTGTTTTTTATCAGGGCCACCTGGTCTATCCAAATATGGGATAAAGCATCCTGCTTCTGCTTTCGCCTTTTCAGCCCCAATCCAGGAGCTTTCGCAAGCAGCCGCAGCGACAGGAATAGTTTTGGTGCTATCCCTTTTTAATGCAATCTTAAGAATTTTTTAAAAGCCAAATTTCTTAAGTTCAAATTTTTTAAAAATGATTACCAAAATAATGAAATTGTTCATCCCAATCTAAATTATTTGAGGCAAATTTAACGTTTTAATTATGAAAGAGTATCAGGGTACACAATTGTGAATAACATTGGGAATATTTTTCATTAGCCACCTAATTAGTTGCTGGCCTTTGATTTGTCACTTATTTATTTTTAGTAAAGCACTTCTTATATGTAACAAAATAATACATGCAGTTTCCATAGTCCACAAAACCACAAAGGTTAAGTCATTTCAAGAGAGGTTCAGTTTTAGAATGTAACATTTTAACCCAAAGGAAAAAGTTTATAAGTACAATATGGAACACATTTTCTGTAATAGCAGTAAAATATTAATGTTATTGCATCTGGGTATCAGTTATAATAATTGAGAATGAAAGGACAATAAATGACTGATGCAATGGGAGGAATACACTAAGTATATCATAATGCTTTTCGAAGCAATACCTACGTAGATTGCTGTGACTTTCCACAATTTCAAGATAATGTTTGCCTTTTAGATTACTTTTTATAATGGTACATTCAAGCCTATTAGATTGTTTTTCAGTATATATGGATATATTCAGTATATATACATGTATGTATGTATGTATGTATACATACATACATACTATATATGGTTTTAGAGAGTTGCTTTCTACATTTCAGCTTGGATACTGCTTGCTTTGAAGGCAGATATACTAGTTACTCACAGTTTATTTTGAATACAGCTTTTCTCAGCATGTTAGAGGAAGCAGAGGAAAGAGATTCATCCTTGCACATCCTCCACCGCCTCTTCCTGCATAGAAATTTAGTACTCTGAGCACAGAAAAGTACATGTGACTTTCAGCCAAGTTTGGAAGTATGAATTGCTTCTTTGCACTAACTTCTTGCATCATAGTCTTTCCCTTCCTTTTTACTTCCTGTGTCTGACAAACATCAGTAATAAGAACTGAATGACACAGTACCAGAAAGTGTTGTTATTCTTCTACTACATATTCAGTTGTTCGTATGTCAGTATTTCGGAAAGTGAACAGGACATAAATTGCCTTTAGACTGTGGCATATTTTAAATCTCCAGGTTGCTTATCAATTACATTCTAAGTAATTGCTTTTTTAAAATACAAATAAATAAATAAATAAATACAATAGCAGAGTTGGAAGGGACCTTGGAGGTCTTCTAGTCCAACCCCCTGCCTAGGCAGGAAACCCTATACCTTTTCAGACAAATGGCTATCCAACATCTTCTTAAAGACTTCCAGTGTTGGGGCATTCACAACTTCTGGAGGCAAGCTGTTCCACTGATTAATTGTTCTAACTGTCAGGAAATTTCTCCTCAGTTCTAAGTTACTTCTCTCCGTGATTAGTTTCCACCCATTACTTCTTGTTCTAATCCAGTTGTTTTACTATGTATGTACACCGACAGATATGCACATACATAAAGATACAATAAATAAATTAGGCTTATATGTGGTAATAATTACAAATAATTCTGAATAGTGTATATTCCATGTACATTCTTTTCAGTAAAAAAGTTAAAGCAATATATATTCATATAGATCCTTTCAACATGGATATATCTCAAATAAGAGCTTTTTTTTAAAAAAAATATACAGTATTCAAGACTATATTACTGCTAGTGTTAAGTGTGGTAATGTAGATCAGATTTTCAGCCACTTCAGTTCATTTTTCAATCCCTTCATCTTCCTTCCTGACCAATAAAAGTGTTCCTTAAATGGTACTGGGCCCACCAAACACTTCTGCCACCAGAAAGGATAAAGACAATATTTGCCAGTTTTTTATTTCCTTGTCACTTATCAATTGTGATTTATGAAAATCAGAACAAGAGGATCCTTCATCTCAGAGGAGCAGTAGAGATGTTCAATGAGGAGAGGGAAGTTCTTGATAGGAAGAGAGAATCTCTAGATCCTAAGGTAACTTATGTCTTAGTTAACTACCATTTTGATTACAGTAATATGCTCTGGATCAGGGGTCCCCAACCCCCGAGCAGTGTCCCACTACTAGGCTGTGGCTGGCTTGGAACTGGGCCACGCAAGTGTATGAGGGTCCACTCATGTAAGCCACTTCCTCCCCACCCCCTACAGGGCCATTAAGCCCTAAAGATTAAGGACCACTGCTCTGAATAGAGCTGTGTTGAAGAACACATAGAAGTTGTGGTTGGCCAGAATATAGTGGCATGAGCAATTTGGTGTGTTTCTTTTTACATTCATGTACACTGCTGTTCCATAAGATGCATCGCCTCCTAGTATGCTTCTTATGCAGGTATCACCTATAAAGTTATACATGGCATGGGGCCAAGCTATTTGGGAGGGGGGACCATGTTTCTCCCACCACCTTTGCTCTTCCCACCACCTTTGCTCTTCCCACCACATATAGTAGAGGGTCTATTTCTGGTCCCTTACACTAAAATCATCTTGCTTTTCTTAATAATATTAGCTTTTTGTAAGACACTGAAATCCTGCCTGGTTTCCCCAGGGTCACAGGTTTACATGAGGTCTATTACTATTAGTGGGGTTATTGTTTTTTGCTTTATTTTTGGATTTGTGTGACCAGAGTATTATCCTTCAATCCCAAGAGTTGTATGTTTATGTTCTTTGTGCTTTTAATCGTATGTTGCCTAGAGTCACTTTAATGTGAGATGGGCAGTTTTATAAATAAATACATTAATTTATTCCCCTTTCACCATTAGGATGCTTTTGCTGACACAAATGCCATGTATGTGCAACATCCATATGCACAAACTTCTAAAACAAGAACTTGATGGATTGAACATTAAAGCTCAGAATATTATGCTTACTTACTAAATTAGAAGTAGAAACATTAACATCTGAGGTGCACTATTAATTACCTCATGGATAGAGAGCTGAACTTTTAAGATTGCATTTGAATCCTAATCATTTTAACTGAATGACATGCACTTTTAATTTAAACCAATCTCCATGCGATAAAAATATGAGCGCTGCAAAAATTTAAATGGACTAAATGGACTATTAGTACATTTAAATTTTTGCAGCGCTCATATTCTTATCACATGGAGATTGGTTTAAACTGAGATATATAAATTGTATTACAATTTACAAGCAGAAAGTGCATGTCATTCAGTTAAAATGTAGAATGCAAAAATTTTAGGTAGAAGGCATAAAATACAGCACTCCTTCAAATATGATTGTAAGGTTCAATTCTTTTCAAAGTGACTTATAAAATTGATATAACACCTGTCTTTTAACAGGCATTTTCTATATAAATGCATATTTGGTATATATTATTGTGCTTCAGTAATTTTTACTGCAAATAGTTTCTACAAGGGACTGTAGGGGAAGTATATTTTATTTTTTGTCAATTTTTAATATTTAATTAACTTTCAATTGTAGTTGTACTATCAATACAAGACAGGCTATGTACCATATTTTTTGGTGTATAAGATGCACAACCTCCTCAAACATTGGTGGAAATATGTGTGCATCTTATACAGCAAATGTTGCCAAAGCCCCATCCACCCACCGGCCTCTGCCTGCCAGCAATTTGCCTCCTTACAGCAAATAGTGTGGTCAGCTTCAGCACAGCCTGATTTAACACAAACAGCTGATTGGCAGTTGGATCGACCTCCCCAAATACCGCCAATCAGCTGTTCCAGGCTGTGGGGATCGCCACAGTACCTCACTGCAAATTGCCGCCTCAGCGCATCACATTTTTGGCCTTTGTGTGTTTTTGAATTCCGCACGCCCCGTTTTTTGCCTCTGCGCGTCGCATTTTCAGCAAGTTCCAGGTGGCAGCAATCCCTGCCTCCTGGAACAGGCCAAAATGGAGTGCACAAGATTTGTGCGCAAATGGAGCTTCACGCACATGCATGAGTTTCTGCTTCTCGCACAAATGGAACTTTAGGTATGCAAGAGATTGCCTACCACTTGCGCAAATGGAGGTGCGCACTTACGCTCACCTGCCGCTTGTGTGGCCCAGCGGCGTTGGGGAACTCCTGCAGTAATGCATTATATCTTCTGTTAACATCAGCCATATCTACCCACTACATTGTCGGGGGGGGGGAATTGGATTTAGTTTTTACTTATAGTTATCCTTCATCTTCTTTGGCAGTAATATTGTGAAGACACATAATTACTTATCCTTTGCAATCTCAGAAATTTTGATCCAGTTCACTTTATTTTTTTCTGGTTATTTTAATCTGTAATAAGAAGTTAGGAGCTTTTATTTTTTTAATATTGTATGCATCTACATCAAATATTGAAAACAGTGCAGCCACATAACCAATCAGATATTGACAGTTGTCTTCCTGTTATTCATCACCAAATATGTTATGAGGAATTGAAACAGAAATATGGAATTGTACTTTATTTCATCATGAGGTAACTTTTACAAGCAAAGGCTATTTGTCCTTCAGTCCTGCTATACTTAATTATAGACTTAGCACCATAACAGCTACCTCAAACAGAACACATTTTCAAAGGAAACTATAGTGACTGTCAAGGTCAAAACAGTAGTAAATACCTATCTTGGTTTAGAATACATATGTATTAAGCTCTATATTGCAGGTAGATTTGGCCAAAAGTAGAAAATTGAGGACCAAAGAGTTTTTAAAAGCACAGCATATACTATGTATTTTTGAGGTGCATTTTGTTCTTAAATTTGGATAAATTTCCATTTTGTCATCATATGGGATATGGGAAAAGAAGAAAAAGATTCAATAGGACGATTTCAGAATAATTTCAAAGGTTGACAATTAATAATACATATTTTCATTTGCCAATTTCTAATACTATATGCCTCAGATAATCTTTCCCCAACATTAACTTTTTAGATATTAGTTTGAAACAGCATGCCACAGATTTGCCACAGGACTACTAAACCCCACTGATTCTTGCCTTCACAAATTAGCTAACAGCAACCAGTTCGATTCTAATTCCATTTTTTCTGCAAGAGTTGGTTCTCTCTCAGAGCTTAGTTTCTTTTCAGAATGTCACGCAAACACAGGAAATGTCAAGAGGAAATATACAATGTAAGCAAAAATAGCATGACCATTTGCTAATGATTTAGTTACGTTCGTATTGAAGAAGAATATATCTTGCACTCAGCCTTGAATTGTATTCAATATCCTGTTTGAAGACTAAATAAAATGCTATAAATTTTAAGGATTACATTATCCAGCACAAGAAGCATTCACACACACACACACACACATAAAATCAAATTAAAAATGATTTTACTAGAAGCAATTCTGTTTGGTAAAAGCAAGAGAACTGTATTTGGTGATATTTGGTATTTTATGTCTTAGTTTGTACATTTATTAGATACATTAGATGTAGTAACCAGACCCTAAAGACATGGTTTTGCCAACGGGCCAGGGTGATGTGAAGCCCATCAAGTGGTTGCTTCGATAGTTGTCATCAGGATGGGTGGGAGTATATTGCATTTTGTAATGTTTTTTCCCCCTATAAGCCATTTAATCTTCTCCATTTTTTTCTCTTCCATTCTGCTGTCTCCAGGTATTGTCAAATCCACTATCCAGGCTTTTAAAAAATCTTTCTTAACAATTATTAAATCTGGGATATTATGTAGCAAATGTCTGTGTATTTGGACTCAAAAGTCCCAGAGCAATTTAGCTTTTTCATTTTCCATGACTTTCTCTATTTTATGGTTCCACCAGTTTTTGCTTGCTGACAAAAGATATTTCTTGCAGATTTTCTAGTGCACTATTGTTGCTACTTTGTCATGCTGTTGGTTATAGTCACTTTGATCTTCTTGCACCTGCTTACCTTTCCTTTGGCTTTTTTGTTGCAATCTTCTCAATTCTGGCTTTGTATGCATTTCTTCTTAAGGCTTAAGCCAGAATTATGGTAGTCCCCTGGTCTCTTTCTTCAACTTTCCTGTTCTGAGCCATTGCCAGGTCTTAATATCTGCTTTCCCTGCAATTTTTTTTTAATATGCTGGCTGTTGTGACTCAGCAGATGTCTTCTGTGAGTCTTTTCAGGATGCAAGATTAATTATGCAGCTGGGGCTCGTTAGGGGCATATTCTGGGGATAAAAGGACGGATGGTGCCACGCCCTGG